CCAGCCCGTGCGTTGTCTTGCCAACGTGACGTCACACTTCGGTACTCTATAGGCCCCCCCCCTAACTAGTACGCTCATATATGCACTACTTTGTAAAACTGTTTATGCCGTTTACCTGTTTGTACCATCACTGAACTAAGTTACTATCACAGTGTTGTAGATAATCTGTATAACGTATAATATAATGTAATGTACATTATTATGTGTTTCTGGAAATAAAAGACATTATAAAAAAAAACTACAAACCAAACTTCAAATCAATTCATTCTAAAAGTGCCCGGATGCTTTAGCTCGGATGGATACGCTATTGGAGCTTTGGAGGATCCGATTTTTACCACCCTGCGTGAAGCGTTGTACTGGTTACTTTGGTAGTAAATAGATTTCGTATTTATTTCGCATTATATTTTATTGAAACGCTTCAAGGACCTGTGGTCTACAGCAGCTGCTGTAAACAAACACATCTTTCCCGCAGGCGTGATTTTTTCCTCTAGGATAATCAAGAACATAGGGCTCTAGTAAGTGCGGCCATTGGTTGAGATTGTGTCGTTTCTCAATGACGGCACAGTGTGGTCATATTCATGGCACATCCATATTAATGAACCTATTCATCATGAATAGCGGACCGCGTAGAGCACGGACGTCAGGTCTGAAAGGTCGTTGGATCGAATCCCATCTTATTGTTAATATTTTCCTGTTTTCTGTATTTTTCTATCTTTATTTCATTTAACTATTTTTTCCAATTAACGCAAATATTTACATAATTTATTTACAACAATTTAATAACAACAATTAATTTTTACAACAATTAAATTTTTGTTTTTTTAATAGGGTTAGGGTTACGGTCACAATGCACCATAACGCAGGAGTTTGAGGCACGTGTCTTGTATCAACCAATGGCTGCGCTCACTAGAGCCTTATGTTCTTGATTATCCTAGAAAAACAGTACGCCTGCGGGAAAGATGTGTTTGTTTACAGCAGCTGCTGTAGACCACAGGCACTTGGAGCGTTACAATAAAATATAATGCGAAATAAATACGAAATCTATTTACTACCAAAGTCTTAATGTTTCTATACTCTATTTTACCTATTATTTGTGAACACAAGGTATTTGTCTTGTTTGCCGGTGTGTTCTGGAAATCCGATTGGCTGGTAAAAACACTTTTCGATGCAATCGGCCATAAAAGATTTTAGCGAAAGTGCAGTCAGTGACAGAACTAATGTACTTTCACAAAATTGAGGTTAATCTGAACATAGTTAGTAGAGGGAGTCTCGTTCTACGAACTATAATCTGAAAAGACAGGATCCCGCCCACAACAAAATCTGCCCACGGAGAATAGCGAGAGTGAACAACGTCCATAGTGATGTTTCGTGTCCGCTTTTACGTTGAGATCTATATATCTATCCTACGTGCGAGCATGGTGCTTGGTGCATGGTTATATATTTGCAGTTTTTAGTCTAACAGTTTCAGTGTTTTGCGTATAGATGCACACGACGTGAATTTTAACTTATAACAACACAAACGATAACAGGACTGTACGATACATAACTATTCCTGCCCGACACATATACATATATACATAATATGTTATAATGCCCCCCTCGTCGTCTCCCTTCTCTCCTTTCCCCTGTACCACCTTCTGCCCTCCTCATATACCTCGTACCTCTCAAACTGTAAAACTCTCGTGACTCTGAATTGCATTATTCGATCCGTGAATCGAATCATTCGATCCGTGAATCGATTCATTCGATCCGTGAATCGAATCATTCGATCCGTAAATCGAATGTTATATGTGATAAATCGAATGTTATACGTGATAAATCAACCAGAAACCAAATGAATCATATCATTCGATCCGTGAATCTAATTATTCGATCCGTGAATCGAATCATTCGAACCGTGAATCGAATCATTCAATCCGTGTATCAAAGCATTCGATCAGTGAATGTTATATATGATAAAATCAACCATAAAACAAAAAATCGGATAATGAAACAAAATACATGCCATACGAAATAATAAACGAGGTATTCGTCCATAAATTATAAAATTGTTATTTAGATCACGCGTCTTCCCTCCTCCTCCTACTTCACCACTACATTACCTCTTCTACCTCCACCCCTTCCGAGGACGAGGGAAAAGGTAGTGGAGGAGGAGGAGGTGGAGAAGAGGAAGAGGTAGAAAAGTGGGACAGGAAGGAGGTAGAAAAGGGGTACAGGAAGGAGATCGAGGAGGAGGGTCGAAGGTGGTTGGGGAGAAGCGGGAGAAGATAGAGGAGGGAGGAGGTAGAGGGGGAGAATTTGGTGGAGGGGAGAGGGAGTTGCGAGATAGGGGAGAGAGGAGGTAGTGGAGGGGGAGAAGGCAGAAGAGGGAGAAGGTCGAGGATAGTTGGAGAAGGTGGAGGAGGTAGAGGAGAGGGGGAAGGTAGAAGAGGGAGTAGATAGAGGATGGTGGGAGACGACGGAGAAGGTAGAGGAGGGGAGAAGTGGTGGAAAAGGAAGGGGATTAGGTAGAGAAGGGAGGAGGGGGAATGTGGTGGAGGAGGACAAGAAGTGGTGAGATAGAAATAAGAGGAGGGGGAGAAGGTAGAAGAGGGAGGATGTAGAGGATGGTGGGAAAAGGTAGAGGAGAGTGGAAGAATGTGGAGGAAGTAGAGGAGGGGGAGAAGCTAGTGGAGCAGAATGGGAGGGGTGGTGGGGAAGGAGAAGGGGAAGAAGGGAAGGAGGTGGCGGAGGAGGAGGGGGAGAAGGTGGCGAGGGAGGGGGTCGAAATGGTAAGTGAGTGAGAAAGGGAAGGAGGGAAGAAGGGGGTCAGGGGTCAAGGTGGTAAGTAAGTGAGAGAGATAGTTAGAGAGGGAGGGAGCGATCGAAGCGTCTTGTGCTCACCGGCCGGCCCGCAGAATGCACAATATATTGTAAGCGGGCAAATCCCACACGCCATGAAAGTGATGCCGATGCGGAAACGCAACCGGTGTCAGGGGGAATGTACAAAACAGAGACGGGAAGGTCAAGGTCAGCGGTCGGGCCCGATATCAAAGTTAGCCGTGGCTCAGGACAGAGCCGGCCAGCCGGAAAGCACGTAATTCCGTAAATCGAATCATTCGATTTACTAATCAAATCATTCGATTTGCGGATCGAATTATTCGATTTACGGATCGAATAATTTGATTCACGGATTAAATGATTCGATTCACGGATCGATTGATTCGATTTAAAAAAAAGGGTTAGGGTTATGGTCACAATGCACCATAAAACAGGAGTTGAGGCACGTGATTTGTATCCACCAATGGCTGCGCTCACTAGAGCCACATGTTCTTGATTATCCTAGGAAAAAAATCACGCTTGTGGGAAAGATGTGTTTGTTTACAGCAGCTGCTGTAGACCACAAGCACTTGGAACGTTTCAATAAAATATAATGCTAATTAAATCAGATAGTATAGAAACATTAAGACTTTGGTAGTAAATAGATTTCTTTCACCTATTATTGCCGACAATTTCCTGCAAATGCCGTCCAAATGTTCATCTGCAACAAACGCTGGCTGCCGCTGCACACTGACACATAAATATGTCTGCGTTTATAGACTTGCCAATTCCTGTAAGCCGATTAAGAGGTGGCTGTGCCAAATCATTACAGGGCTTTGGAACTTTTAAGTATGGTAAGCTTCTATCTCGTCAAAAGAGTTGCTAAACAGCTAAAGTGGACTTCTTAACAGCATCAATGACAACCACATTATAAACCAAATGCGTATTCAATTTGTTCTTGGTCAAACTTACCAATTTATCTCCACGGG